ATATATTTTTGAAAATAAGGTTAAATTTATGGATAATGCTAAAGGTACATAAGCATCTACATAAAGGTGTCCATAATGCTGATGTGGTATGTGACCCCACCTTTAATTCAAATCTGACACTTACACATCAAGGACCGGATGATTGCCACTTCATCATTATGTAGAGCTTTATGTAGAGGCTTATGTACAACTAGCATTATCCAATATATTATGAGTTACACTTTGCCACGTAACAAATTATGATTTGACAGTTTAAAGAAAAAAATCAATTACTGTTTTTACAATAAAGCCAATTTCAAGAAAAATGTAAACATTGGAGTGTATAGACGACATTATCCTTACTTTTATGACACGTGACCATGAATGCTATTTTATTTTATTTTTTTACTCTTATTTTTGGCAACTCGAGAAAGGACATCGGAGGGTGGTGGGGATAAGAAAATAAATTTATTATTTTGAAATAAAAATAAATAAATTTATTATTTTGAATTAATTAATAATTAACGATAAATTATTATTATTATTATCAGTTTCTTCGCTCTGTGAAGCACTGATGTTAAAGCTACTGTCTTCTCCCCGTTGCTTCACTTCCCAATTATTGAACCCCTCCAGAGGCCGCCTTCATTCAATTGCCAGAGCCTCCTCTTCTTTCACTCATACATCTCCCAAGGCAAGTCTTTTTATCAGGAAAAAAAAAAAACCTAATACTGTATCTTGATTATGTATAATTATTTAAATTCTGTTGTTGTTATACAGTAACTGTGGATGTTGTTGACGTTTTAATTGGAAATTTTTGATGCCCAGATGGATTCTGAGAGCTACATGTTTGGACCCTATAAGATTGATTCGAAGGAAGTGTTTTACTCTACCCAACTTTCTTATGCCCTAGTCAATCTCCGCCCTCTTGTTCCTGGTGTGTAATCCCCATTTATAGTTTCTGTTTCTCTTGTGATCGAGCTAAATTTATATTAGCATCTCGTTCGATGGGTTTCATTTTGTGTTTTTGCTATTGCTGGAATTGTTTTCTTGCTATAACCTGTGCAATGCACGGGGTCTTGATTTGAAGAATAATGTAATTTGACTAAATGACCTGAATGCAGAAATTCAATGTCTGTTACATGAATATGATTGTCAATCCTGTTTGCCCCCCAAAAAACAAGGGAAAACCTTAATCGCCTGTGTCTTTTACACTAGGTTGTGAGGATTTAAATAGATTTCTGGTTAATTAAATAAGAAATGAGAATCTACTCAGACAATTTGAGGTGAAACCAATGGACCATGAATTAAGGGAAGTGACACTCCTATTTAAGATAGTCACGCAATCTTGATAGAATATGTTAAGAGAGAATGATAGAGCAAAACATATTAGGACTCGGTGTCAATTTGTTGTTTTGTGCTGTTGCTGGAATAGGTTTTTTACTTTCTATGCGAATGTATAATATTCATGCTAAACTTGAGGGGTTGCTCAATTGGTCAGACTTTGGATTTACTTTCCAATGGTTACCAGTTCGAGTTCCCTCAGGCTACCGAGGTGAGTACCAAATCGTAAGCCTTAGGATCTCGTGGAATTAGTCGAGGTGCGCGCAAGTTTGCCCGGACATTCACGGTTATAAAAAAAAGTATAATATTCATGCTTGCAGTGTTTAATTGCATCATGATGGCACGAGCTTGTAAATTGATATTCACGCGCAATATTTTTATTAGGTATTTGATAAAAAGAAAAATAATATAAAAATCTTACTTCTAGAAAATGTGATTTCTTTTATTGTCTCCCATGTAGATGTTTCCTTTTAGCATCATTGTCTGTCCTTTTTTATACTTTTGAGTAAAAGAGAGATTATACATGATGCTTAACACATGAAGCCTCACCCATGTAGGGTTTTTTTTTGGTTTTAACAAACTTTAACATCTTTAAGTTTTCCATTCTGTAACTTAGTTTAATTGTTTTCCCTTGCAGGTCATATCCTTTTGACTACCCATTTTAATTGCGTATGATGATTGACTCAAGCGTATATACTATTTTATGAAGTTATGAAGGAAATAGAGAGGTAGAAGGAACTGCTTGTGTGGTTAAGTATAAGGAGTCAAATTGATGCTAAATTGTGTTCCCATTAATAATGATAAGTTGGATGCTTTTAGAATTGTTGATATGGACATTGCTTAAGCCTTGAATTCTTTGCAAGGGATTGATTCTGCCATTCTAATATTGTTATTGGGGGTTTGTAGTGATTTTGCCTATTAATGGTAACAGGCTCGAGTTAAGATTTTAATATTTTGCAACCCTTTATTTACATAAAGATCCATATTCTCCTTTGATTTATAAAATTTTTCCTGATTATCTATAAAAAAAAAATAAAGATCCATATCATGTCATATTATATAAGTATATGTATTCCTCTAGAAATTCTGTGGAGATGCTACCCTAGCCCCTTTAAAGAAGACAGGTTAAACCATGTCATCCAATTGGCTGAATATCTTAATTTTCTAGGCTTTATTCAGCTTCCATAAAAGGAAAAAGAAAAAAGAAAAATTTGAAGTAAAAAGAAAGCCTTTAGTTAATATAATCTCAGACTTTTGAATTTTGGCTTATTTGATTTGACTTGACACAACTTACATGTGCTTGTGTGCCCGAGGCGTGAAGTGAAGCGCTTTGTGGATCTCACTGCTGATGAGACCAGTGATATATGGCTTACGGCACAGAAGGTTGGCCAGCAGCTTGAGTCCTATCATAAGGCATCATCACTAACATTTGCAATCCAAGTAAGAGCAATACTATATGGAAGAGCAAATTATTATTTATTTCTTTGATATATTGTGAAGTTAGGCCAATTTTTATTTGTACTGTTACTATTCTCTTATAAAAGTTAGTAAATCTGAAAGTTGACTTTTATATTGTTCCTTGCTCTCACCCTTTTCCCTTTGCAGTCATGTAAATTGTTTGAATGTAACCATTGTATTATCTGGTTTGTGAATTTTGAACCTCTGATAGTAAACAGTTGGAAATTTTAAGTTATGGGCAAAACTAGTAAGAAACCTTGTTATTGAAATAAAAAAATTGAGAGAAAAATATATAATATTATTCTTGCTTTCTTTCTGTCTTTCCTTCACCCTTTTTTCCCCCGAGCTATTCTTTTTCAAAGATAAGAACATTCTTTACCCTATTTAATTTTTGAGACAGAATGCAATGGGATTTTCTTCTCTTTTCTTGTATTTCTCGGCTCAAGAACTGCAAAGGTGGATGCAGTCTTTGTACCGACCTATCAAAACAAGAACACTGCATGACTATTGGACAGTTATAGGTTCCTGCTTACCTGAATTTTCTGCATGCTCTTCAGTACAAATATCTTGTGCGTACGATTCTCCATTTTCCTATGCACGATTAAGGAAGTCATATTTTTGTAAACTTATGGTTCATTTTCTATGTAGATCTTGTGACTTGAAAGTGAATTGAATATATTGAAATAGAAGGATCTATGGATGGGTAATATTTGGGACTCAAATATGTACAGAAAGTGATCAAGAAAGGTCTGTTTTGGGGCTGATGAATGTTACCTGAGAGCATTAATTTTTTCAAAGTTGGTGCTGTTCTGGTTTATTGTGTTCTTGGAATGGATGGTCTTTACGAAGATTCTAGAATTGCAGGAAGAATTAGAGTTGAATTGTAGAATAGAGGAGGAAAAGAGGGAAGAATCAAAACCATAGGAGGGTTAAAATGCGTCTAACACTCATACCCAATTGATATAATAGTTGACTTAATTGCAATGACATTATGCCTATTGGATATCGGAAAATCTCTCTCCTGCCAGTAGTTTTGGAACCCCATTCCCTCTTTAAATTTTTGGATTTAAAATAAGTCAGTAGAGTAAAAATGAAC